ATGGTTTACAAGTATTTTGTTGAGGATTTTTGAATCTATATTCATTAAGGATATGGGTATAAATTTTTCCTTTTTGGTTGTGTCTTTATCTGGTTTGGGTATTAGAGTGATGCTGGCTTCATAGAAGGAATTTGGGAGTTCTCCCTCTGTTTCTATCATTTTGAACAATTTAAGTAATATTGGTTGCAGGTCTTCTTTAAATGTCTGGTAGAATTCTGCTGTAAATCCATCTGGGCCAGGGCCTTTTTCAGTCGGAAGGCTTTATATTACTGTTTCAATTTCCTTATATGTTATGGGTCTGTGTAAACTGTTGGTCTGTTCTTAATTTAACTTTGGTGGTTCCCATGATTTTAGATATCCATCAATTTTTTAGATTTTCAAATTTAGTGACATATAGGTTTTTAAAATATTCCCTTGTAATGGTCTGGATCTTTTGGGTGTCTGTTGTGATGTTTCCCCTTTCATCTTTGATTTTGTTGATTTGGATTTGCTCTTTCTTTCTTTTAGTTAACTGGCCTAAGGGTCTTTCTCTCTTGTTTAGCTTTTCAAAGAACCAGATTATTTGATTCATTGATTCTTTATATTGTTTACTTTGTTTCTATTTCATTAATTTCTGCTCTGGTTTTTGTTATTTCTTCTCTTCTGCTGGCTTTGGGTTTCATTTTTTTCTTGCCTTTCCAGGATCTTGAGTTGCAGTGTTAGGTCATTTATTTGTGTTCTTTCAGATTTTTTGATGTAGGCACTTAAAGCTATAAACTTCCCTCTAAGAACCGCTTTCAGCATGTCCCAGAGGTTTTGTTGTGTTGTATTGTCCTTTTCATTGAATTTCAGGAATTCTTTTATTTCTTTCTTAATTTCTCCTTTGACCCATTATTTAGGAGTGTGTTGTTCAATTGCCATGAGTTTGTGTAGTGACTAGGGCTTTGTCCAGTGTTGATTTTGAGCTTTATTGCATTGTGGCCCAATAGAATTCATGGAATTATTTCAATTTTTTTTGTATTTGTTTAGGTTAGTTTTGTGACTGAGTGTGTGATCAATTTTTACAAAAGGTTCCATGGAGTGCTGAGTAGAAAGTGTATTCTTTGGTGCTTGGATGGAATATTCAAAATATGTCTGTTAGGCCCATTTGATGTATGGTATCATTTAATTCAGACATCTATCTGTTTATTCTTTGTCCAGTTGACCTGTCTAATGGAGACAGTGAGGTATTGAAGTTCCCTACTATTACTGAGTTGGGGTTAATCTGTGTCTTAAAGTCCTGTGGTGTTGTTTTATGAATTTGGGTGCAGCAGAGTTTGGTGCATATGTGTTAAGGATTGTAATATGTTCTTGGTTAATTATTCCTTTGATCAGAATGAAGTGACCTTCCTTATCTCTTCTGATTAGTTTTACTTCGAAGTCTATTTTGTCAGATGTTAGAATTACAACCCCTGCTTGTTTCTTAGTGCCATTTGCTTGGAATATTCTTTTCCATCCTTTTACCTTAAGGTAGTGCCTGTCCTTGAAGGTGAAATGGGTTTCTTGCAGACAGCAAAGACATGGATTTTGTTTCTTTTTTTAAAAAATATTTTATTTATTTTTATTTTATGTGTATGAGTGTATTTATTGCCTGCATGTAGGTAAGTGCACCTTTGTCATGCAGTGCCCGTGGAAGACAGAAGAGGCTATCAGGTCCCCTGGAACTGGAGTTACAGACAGTTGTTAGGTGCCATGTGGAATTCGAACCCGTGTCTTCTGCAAGAACAGCCAGTGTTCTTAACTGCTGAGCCATCTCTCCAGCCCCAGGTTTTGTTTCTTAATACATTCACTTAGCCTGTGTCTTTTGACTGGGGAGTTCAGTCCATTGATATTTAATTATTGAAAGATGTGTATTGGTTGCCGATATTTTGATTGATGTTTGTGTTCTCTGTCTAGTTTTGTGTTTCCTCAATTATACGTTTATTTTCTTTCATTGCCCCTGGGGTATAGTTGTTTCTCTCTCTGCTCTCTGTATTTCTTCAAGTATTCTTTGAATTGCTGGTTTTGTGGACATGTATTCTTTCAGGCTATTCGTATCATGGGAGATTTTTCTTTCCCTCTCAACTATAATAGATATTTTGCTGGGTAAAGTATTCTGGGCTGGCATCTATTGTCATGTAGAAGTGGAAATACCTTGGCCCAGGCTCTTCTGGCTTTTATAGTTTACATTGATAAGTCAGCTGTAATTCTGGTGGACTTTCCTTTGTATGTGACTTGCTGTTTTTCTTTTGCTGCTTTCAGTACTATCTGTTCTGTACATTTTGTGGGTTTTTTTTTTTT